CATGCTGAATTCTATACACTGGGATTGATTGACAAAATGGATCTTTTGGATTAATAACTCTCACTCAGAGTGCAACATTTAATAAGTGGTTATTAACTATTAATAACTTGGAGTTATTAAGTGTAGGGTTAAAAATTCCCATCACTACTTGTGTCATTTTTGATTCAATGGCAGCGAATTTGATGTAATAGTTTACAACTTTATGTAACATTTCATCAAGAAATAACCCATTACCAAATTTAGAAATCATGCATGTAGATCATAGTATCTTTCAATCACAACTGACTGTTTTGTGGCAAACCATCACCTAGATCCTCCCAATATGCTCCAGATTTCAGCTTTGCAAAATGTGATATCCTTGGGTTATATTGGGTGTGCAAAACTATATTAAATCTTATCAAAAATCCTGTTGAAACTATGCTGAAATGGCCAAACCTCAAAATGCAAAGCTCTGCCAAAAATCTAATAAACAATTCATGTGTAACCTGCTGAAACCCTGCCAATTGATTTCTGGAGGAGTTTCGACAAGCAACCTTAATTGGGTGGAGGCCAGTAACAATATAACAGGTTGTTATATTAGGCTGTATGCCAGTAATAATACAGTGTTGGAACCTCCAACTATATTGGCCAGAATCAACATAATTAGAATCACTAGAAAAGCCATTGGGTTACCTTTGTAAGTGAATTGCATTAACTAACCAAATTTGGATTGCACACTTTCAATATCAAGCTTAAGTAACAGAATTTGATCTATAGAGGACTATAGCTTTATTAATACAATATATTGAATTTCTATTACAGATAAATGAATCTAATTTCAAAAAAAAACTTTTTTAAACTATGCAAGGTCAAATCTATTAATATTCTTCTTTTTTGGTTTTCTTTGTTGTGCACTAGGACCTGAGGAAAATTCTGTTGATATAAAGGTTTTATTTAAATCTCTCTCCACCTATATTATGCAAAAGGATATAAAATAATTTAATTGATTAGTAAATTTTATAAATATTAATAATATAAATAAAATTTTTTTTTTATTTTACCTCAATTCTCTTCAAAATATATTTGTATGTGGCAAATGTATGTGAAACCAATAATGATTTAGGGAAATTTTCTTTTACCAATTCTTCTTTAATATCTGATGACCAAAGATTGAAACTCATGTCAATTAAATATTTACCTAATGATTCATCTTCTTTGACTGATTCTGATGTCAAGAATCTAAACATAAATCTTTTTAATGCTAGTGCAAATGATTTTGCTGGTAAACTCTTAGTTTCTTCAGTAATTTTTGCTTCAAAATTAAGTGAACTTTCAATAATCTTTTCCAAATCATTATTATTAATCATTATTTTATATTTCTCATTAATATGTTCAATCACTCCATTAGCATAATAATCTTCTATCAATTCATATAACCCTATAATATTTTTAAGTTTTAATCCTATCTCCAATATATTCTTAAATTCATTGTTGTCATCGGCTAATGATGATAATTTGGTCCATTGATAAATAAAATCTTCTATCAATATTTCTCCATTACCAATTGATGCTCGTTTAATAAAACATAAAATTATTTCCAAGAATGATAAAATTTTCAATGTATTATCTTTATTAATGAATTCACTATTAGATATTGATTCATTTATTAAAGATGTCTTATCATTTGGAATAATCTCCTGTGGTATTAATAGTTTAATATCATTAAGAATTTTATTGCTTTCTTGGAACATTTCCATGTGATATTGGAATGATTCCAAATACAAGTTTTCATTGTTTTGCTCAATATAATACTTCTCATAAACCAGTCTTTTTGCAAGTTCCTCTTCAATTTTTTGCAAATCATAAATAATTTCTTGTCCATGTCCAGCAGCCAAACTTCTTTGACTATACATTAACAAATTATCATCCCATTCATAATTGATTAAATTATTTTCTTTAAATTTGTCCAATTTAACTTCTGGTAAATAATAATACATTTTGGTATTCATCTTTTCCATTGCTACATTATAATTTTTAGGTTCTTGTAAAAACTTGATAGATTCACATTTTCCAACTGGTATTGTTAAAACATCTCTCAAAAAACTATTTTGTATCTCTACAAGATATTTTACAATGCCATGTACAAATGATCCATCATCTTTTGGATCAATTAATCCAAAGATTATTGGTTTCTCCATATTCATTCCTGGTATATTCACCAATTGTTTGTCATCATTTTTAGCAGCTTCTTTAATCACTTGATTCCATGATGCTGAAAAATCACGGAATAAGTTTTTAAACATCTCAAGCTCTTGTGGTTCAATATTTCTTTTTGTTTCAGAAACCATGTATTCTTTAAAGGACATATTATTAGCAGTCAATCTAGTTATTCGATAACCTAATCTTGATGATAAGATTTTCACAAATTTTATAATGGCTGATAAATGTTTAACCATATTCAATTTCTTATGGTGCTTGAAAAATATTGTTAAAAATGGATATGATTTTGTGACTGGTTGTTCTAAAATTCCACAATAATATGCTCTAAAATTATCAAAACTACTTTCACTAATGTATCTCCAAAGTTTAGGTAGATGTGATTTATGATATTTCTTATCCATTGATGATGATGTTTGATCAACCTCTTCAACAATCTTACTTTCAAATGAGCCTTTATTCATTGATTCATCTAATAGGAACCTAAATTGAGTTGTTGATTCCATAGCATTTTTAGTAAATGGTATGATATATTTCTTTGCAAAGCTTGTTTCCCAGTCTTCTCTTTGCCTTGGGTTTTCAATTGGTCCACGTGATAATTCATAAGGTTTTTCACTAATACTATTCAATATTGCATGGAACAATAATGCAAGTTCTTCATCTGAAAGATCCAACATTCTTATCAAAACATTCCAATCATTTTCCATATGTTGTAAAAGGTATACAATAGGATCTTGAATATCTCCATGTCTTTTAATAAAGTTGATTGCTGTTGTTGATGGTAAGTGTGCTCCAATCACAACATTGACCATGAAATGTAAAATACGATATGATGATGGTGATAAGCCATTTCTAACAGTGTAGGTTATGCTGATATTAGGAACTTCTGGAACATATCCTCTATATGACACATCTGTTTCTGCTGTTTGTTGTTTTTTAATTAATTTATCTTCTTCTTTAGGTTGATAATCAACCCCTCCAATTTTATTCTTGCACTCTACACATGTTCCTTCTACAATTGTTCCTCCATCCTCATTAACAACATATTTAGATCCACATTTACACGAATATCTATATTATAAATAAAATATTAAATTAATATATAATAATGAAAAATAATTGCATATGCATTTATTTATTACCTTGATATACCAGTTTCAGATGTAGTGGTATAACCAAAGTAAGGTGGACAAGATAAAATAAACTCATCATTACACTGATCTAGCTTATGTAAATAGGCTGATAATCTTGATGCCTTAGATGGCAAAGATGAGTACAATCCTATAATATGTGCTATAACTGATTTCATTTCTAAATTGCCTATGAATTGTTGGTCAACTTTTAGAATATAAATTTCATTATTTATTAAACTTTTCACTAATTTTTTATAAAATGGCTCTACTTGATTTAGTTCAAATCCTTTTTGTAAAATTTCATTCACTTCACTTTCCACATGTCTCAATTCACCAGCTGATTTTGGTAATTGTAATCTTGTAAAGATAAATCCAAAAAAGGCTATACGTGATGTTAAAGTTGAATCATTTTTGAGTATTTCTAAATATTTTTTAAAGTGTACTGTATTATTATCAGTTACTGCTTTAAAGGTCTTTTCAATAATATGATAATCATCCAATACCCAATATGGATTAAATGGCAAGACACCAACATGATCCAGATCCCATTTTAGATCAGAAAACCAATGCACGCTATTTTGATTCAATGCTAAACAGAAATCCTTGATTTCATTGAAATAAAATCCTCGTTGACGTAATTCTTTTAAGAAATAAAATTTAAATGATTTTATCAATGGGTAATCTCTACTCAAACTATTGTTTAAAGTGTTAACTACTTCAGGTCCATTAAATTCTCCTATATCAAAAAATAAAGTATTACTAGTTTTCACTAAATCATTATCTTTAATAATAGCATCCCATAACTTTGTTACAAATAACTTGAGAAAAGCTATTGATACTATAATTTGTAATGGTTCCATATTATTACCATACAATGATTCTATTGCTTTTTGATATGACATATACACATCCAAATTATTCAAAAAATTTTGTTGAATAACGTCACAACATAATGTTGATATTGGTGAGTCAAGTTCAGCTAGACATTTATTAATGCCTGCTATTTTTGCTGATTTAGATAAAACTTTTCTGGGATTTTCAATAATGTCCAAGAAAAGATTTGGATATTGTTTTTTTTCATTTGCAAATATGCATCTTACAATTGGTTCCATCAGTGGAAATGGTTGTGAGAGAATTCTATCATAAAGATAAAGACTAACTTTGGATTCAGATGGTACAATTTCCAAACATTTCATTATAAAAGATTTATATATAGCCAAATTCTTTTCATAAGGTTGAAGTTTCTTTAATGTTTCAAGTGTTTTGACTATGAATTCATTTGAAAGTAATTCCTTGTTATTGTCATTGCCAATAATACTACTACTACCAATATCACTGCTATAAATAATATCATTGTTCTTATTACTATTTTTGCCAGCATTTATAATTTCTTGAAGATCTTTAATTGATATTGATGGTATAAGATCATAACAAATTTTCAAAACTTGAAATAATGGTAAAGTTGATGCTCCTTTGATATTATTACTTAATAGCATGATTTTGTCAACCTCATAGACCCAACTTTCAATGTGATAATGTGGCAATTCTCCTATTGTAAGTTTGTCTAACATTGTTTCTGATACATTTTTCATTAAGAATTCTCCAAATCTCAAATCAATAATATCTTTTTCTTTAATTTTATCAATTATATCAGGACAAACCTTTAGTAATTGTGCTTCTGTAGATATGGTATGTATATTTCTCCATAAATATGTATGAAGGTAAACTGGGTTTAATATTTTTTCAGATCCCAATTTTGCACTAAAAACAAATTCTAAAATCTCTGGATCAAGATTATTATCTAAAGCTGTAATAGTAACAAAATCTTTGAAATATAAATCAGATGCAAAATCTAATGGTGAACTCCTAAGTATTGGAGCCGATGATAAAATGTTTTTAGAAAATGTTAAAATAAAATTATCCATAATGTTATTATAAAGTTCTCCTGTTGTTGGATCTAAATTATCATGTTGTTCACATAAAACTTTAATTTCTTCTTCAAATAATTTTTTAAATCCATTAATTTGTTTAGCCAGATAATAAGAAAATGGAAATTGTAAAACATAAACATTATTAGGCATGATGATGTTTTTGTCTGATTGAAGTTCTGTTGAATTATCTATTGAAATTATTTCTGGGTTATTGAACATCTTTATCCAAAAATCATATAAACTTTTGTGTTCTACAGATTCATCTTTTTTACTAGCAAGTAAAAAGAATGTTCTTGTTACTTGATAATTTTCAAGTGCACATAAAATTTTTGCAATTGGTATTCGAACACGTTGACGAATATGCATTTGTAAAGCTGTAGTAAATGATGAATGAGGGTAAAGTAATTTCTTTGTTGATGCCACTTCATATTGCCAATCATATTGTAAATTTGCTTGGAGCCATTTTTGTATATGGACACTTAATAAATCAATAAATTCTTGATTTTTGATAATTTCTTCATTCAATGTTTTTATATGGTCCACAGATCTTTTATTTGAGGGATATTTTATACGTAACAAACACCATAATAATTCTTGCCTAAGTACTTCTTCAAATTTATAACTGGTTTGTATAACATCAGATATACTACCATCCAATAAAGATGATAAAGAATTTTCTTGTTGAGTCAAATTTTCAATTGTAATTTGATCCCAGCCACATATAAAATTGAATGACACTGGTATTTCATCTTTTTCATGTTGTTCTCTATGAATATGTAATATTATACAAGCATGTTTTGTTGGTACAATAATTTCATTAACAGCTTTATTTTTTCTATTACTTTTTTGTTTTGTCAAGTATTCATCACGATACTGTTCTATGATAAATTTAGCTAACTTGATACAACCAGCATTAACTGATGTAACGTCACATTGTAATATCAACATTTGATCTGTTGATTCAAACCAGAAATTTCGTATTCTTTTTTGTAATTCAGCTTCAGTCTTAAATGTTGATAATTTTTCTATTTGACATTTGATAAAGCCTTGTAAATATGATTTAATATCTGTATTAATATTTGAAAAAGTGTTAATGATCACTAGTGTTCCATCAGGATTAACATTTTTTGTTGGCTCCTCAACTACTCCTTGTATAAGATTTTTTTCTGTATCTAATAAGCTTTTGAAATAACTTAATAGATGATCATTACATTGTTGTTTGAAGAACACTTTTTTCAAATAATTTTTTTCATCAATATCAGCATTAGATTTCTCAGATCTGACTATACCATCTGATGATGCAATTGCAATTAATCTCCTTTTACATATATCAATTATTTGTTCTTCATTATAAGATGGGTTTATTTTTGTTACATCTATTACCAAGCTTTGTAAAGTTTCATTTGGATCATATCCAATAAAAAGATCATTCACATCAAAAATTTTAACTACTGATGATGAAGACGAAGATGATTCTGATGCATCATTTCTCTCCATGGCAACAGTTGACAATTGTTTTACCCAGAATTTGAGCTTTTCAACAAGGAATTGTTGTTGTTCACTTATGATATCATTAATAGACATTTTTTGTTTCTCAAATCGATTCAAAAGTGGTGGATCAGCATCTTTTATTTTATCTTCATCCATGACAAGAATACACCTGAAACCTTTTTCAACATGAAGTAAAGGATTTGCATATGCACCAAGAGCAACTCTAGCATAATATTTAGGATTATCTGAGCTTCCAACAACGACATAGCTTTGATTCCACAAGTCATAAAGACTTCCATAAATTATTTCCAAATCTGTTAAGATCAATGGTCTTCCAGCTTCAACACACATCATAATTCTACTCAATATATTATAAGAGTAGTCATCATGATCTTCAGGAAATTGTGAACCCAGAATAACAACAGGATCCAAATTTTGCATTTTCAATTGATAATTTAATAAATTTACTATTGATTCACTTTTTCCAATGACCATTAAATGTCTTGCTCCTTCATCTTGAATATTTGCATTAATTAATTTTTCAACTGGTATGGGTTTATATTCCCATTTTTTTTGATTGTTAAATGTTTTTAATACATATTCAAAATGTTCTTCAACAAGTTGTTTGTTAATATCAGTTCCACCAAAATTTCTTATTAGTGCCATTTGAATGTTTTCAGGGTTTAGCTCAGCCATTGATAAAGATTTTACTAATGAATAATAATCACGTAATCCATGGAAATGTTCATATTTCTGGCCATTTTTCTCATAATTCAAATATTCTTCAGCAAGTGATACTAAAAATGATTTAGAAATTATGCCATGAGTTTTTTTCTTAAGTAAACGATCAGCTGTATCAACTAAATCTTTCAAATTAAATTTAGGTCTTTGGACCAATAATGCTCTACTACTTTTACTATTATCCAATCTCCAATTTGATATGCCAACAACTGACACAGATGGCCCATCATTTGGATAACTTGGTTCAAGTAATGAATGAAGAACTTTCAATGGGTTGAATGGACTTATTTCTGCCAATCCAACTTCATCAAGCAACACAACACTAATAACAGGAAAATCTTCTGAGCCAGTATCCTGGTATTTCTTGGCTTTCTGGAACACTTTATCTATGCCCTCTGATGTTGAAGATGCTGAACCTTGATGTGGAATCAAATACACTTGTGGTAATGTTCTGAAATATTCATCATTTGAATCAGATCCACGAAGATTTTGACTTACAAGTCTGATGGCCAATGATTTAGAAGATCCAGGAGCTCCAATTATAAATACAGGGATTTTACACAATATACAAGCAACCATTACTAAAACATTTTCTAATAATGCCTCATTAAAGGCAGTATTAGGTGGACATGTCATTCTGAAAATATAATCTTCTTGTTCATCCCTAATGATTTTTAAAAATGATTCTTCACTCAATGGGACTTTAAATTCATAAAATATTTCACACATCTTTATTCTATACTGTTTTCTTAATTTTTGATCGTATATCCTTGATTGATAACAAAGCCCCAATGCTAATACATAAGATCTTGTAATTATATCAGGAAATCCATTTGGAGGGTAATTGGGACCATGTTTCCTTACAGGAGGACGATTTTGTAATGAAGTATGAAAGAATTTTACTAATTTGATAGCCCTTTTTACATCACGTAATGATACACTATAAGGTTCTTCAACATGTCTAATATAATTTTGAGACTCAAACAACAATTGAGCAAGTCTGTTATCTGCTAATCCTTTTAATGCATTTGATACCATGATCTGTATATATTTCAATTCGTCATTTGGTTTTAATATACCATAATCCCATACATAATCTAATATTTGATAAGGTAATGGCTTGACTTGATAAACAAGTTTACTTCTTTCTTCATAGGTTTCATCAGTTTTTGCAATCAAGCCTACTTGAGAAATATTTTTATTTCTCAACCTATAGGGATTACAAGCAGCAAAAAGTCTAATATTGTCATGAATTGGCACCCCAAATAGCATTCTGTGAGCTATTAAGTCTGATAATAGTCCAATGTGTATACACGTATTGATTTCATCAAAAAATATCCAGGTTTCACCTTTTTCTGCTATATTTTCTGCTTTATCCATAAAGTCAAATATTGCTTGCTCAGATATTCCAGCATGAAGATTTAATGCTAAAAAATCAACTTCAACTACTTTTGCTAAAAATCCAATTAAACTTGTCTATAATTTATAAAAATATAAAAATAACAAGAAAATCAAAAAATATTATTATAAATATTTATTAAGATTATATTATAATAATTATTACCTTTCCACAACCAGCTTCTCCACATACAACGACAGGAATATTTGCTCTTGCTCTTAATAAAATCAAAGCCATTTTAAGTAAGTTGTCTGCTGATAATGCATAAGGATGATATGGAATTGAATGCATGGTTTTTCTTGCCAAGCACTCTAATTTCTTTAATAATTCATCAGTTGACATGGTATGATAATCATCTAAACTCCACACATAATTATTTGAACCATCATCACCAATACATTGGCTTTTTAACAAATTTTTAACATTATCTGGAACTTTTGTTTTATCTCTGTATAATGCACAAATTGAATCAGGCAATTGTGACATAAAAAATACCAATAAATGGTTTGAGTCATCCCATTGCACAATTGTACTTAATTCATCCTCTTTATTTTGAAGAGACTTTGTTTGAGCAGATCTTGTTTTGATTGATTTTGTAGCAAAATCTTTTGATACATCAATTAAAGTCTGAACCAATGTTGTACGAACACCACATTTGTCATTCACCATCAATCTAATATTTTCAACCTTGAAAAAGGAGCTTGAAGACAATCTAACCAACTGATCAGCCAAAACATTAACAAATATTTCAATAAATCTAAATGAAAATATGTCAGTGTTTTTGTCTTTGAATAAATATTTTGTTAATAATTCTTGACACCTGGCCTCTGTGACTGGAACTAAATGAGTTGATTTTGTTCCTTTTAAGATTAAGTCATTTCTGTCCAATGAAGATTTATCATAATAATCCAGATAAAGAGAGACAATTTGTAATGGTGAAGTTAGTTCCTCTGACGTTATTAATTGATTGATAGACCAAACCAAAAATTTTGATGGTAGATAATTTACAAATTTCAAGGAATTAAACAATTCTTGTCCCATAGTTGATGCAACTTCAATAAAAACAGGTGTTAGTGGTAATAATGCAATATCCATATTATTTGATACAACTCCTAATGTTAATAGCTGGAATAAAAATATATTAACATCTAATGGAAAATCAGATGAAATGATATTTAAATGTAAAGAGTCAACTTTTCTTAATTTGAATTTTCTAAATTTCTTGACAAGATTACAAAAATCAATCTCATCACTGATTAGAAAGCTTTTTATAAATTTGCCTGTCTTAAAACTTTCTTGTCTTATCCATTCAGTTTTGCCTTGACCTGACAATCCTGAAGAAACAACCACCACTTGATTATGACAAATTTCATTATAAATTAATTTCATAGATTCAGTGCCTAATCCTTTTGTTGTGTGTACATCCTGACTAAATTGGTCCAAAATGTGATGGTGAAGCCCATCTTTTTTACAACAAATCAATGCTAAATAATAATCATTTGCTTCTGATTCTCTCATTGTTCTAATCATGTTTACCAAGTTGTATTGAAATTCAAAATCCAATAATTCTAAATTGGCAATACAAAATAAACTATCACCATAATTATTCTTGGATGCAAAGAAACATCTTTTAATAAATATGGACAATTCTTCCATAGTAGTTGATGGTGTACAGATTAATATTTGCCAAGGCTCAGGATAAAATTGGTGGTTGACATATAACGAAATGATAATATTAGGAACTAAAAATTTGTCATCACATGAAGCTACAAATAATTTTCCAGGTTGAACAACATCTGACATAATGCTTTCAACTGGAATTTTAATTTCCCTAGGGCTTCTTTGAATTGACTCAAAAATGTTAAATAGCTTCAAACCAATTTCAGATAACATTTTATAATAATCATTATGTTGATGTGAAATATCTGAAGTATCTTTTTTGTTTGGTAATGGTGGTGGAGGCAATGTAGCTTTAATATTAACAAATTTAATTAATGTTTCACATTCTTCTCTATTTGCTTTTTTAAACAATTCAAATTCATCTTGTTTATTGGCATATCTTTTTTCCAAGTCAATATAATTCATAAAATAATCGTAAAATTTAAGAATATGTCTAACTGGAAAGAATGTTAGATAATAATGTTGTTCCTGTAATCTATTAACAATATCCTCCCTAAATTTTATGTAAAATTTTACAAGTAAATATAGATATTTTTTTAAAAAAAATTTTTGTTATAATTATTATTGTTGATAAAATACATGCCATTGTCCTAAATCTTTTTTCAATTTCAAAACAAATTTATCCCATGGCTGATTCCCCACAATAGAAACATTAAATTCTCTATAATCAAAATGGCCCATTTGAATAAGTTTTGTAGCAATGTTGATGATTTCTTGAGCCAGATCAACTTGAGAAACAAATTTATCTATAATATCTTTACTAATTTTTTCTTTATCATTGATATCAATTGACGCAGAAGGTTTTGCTATTAGTAAAGCTCTACCACGTAAGTCATACAAGTCATTGAGAGTGTAAGTGGGACTCACTTTAACTTTTGATGGATAAGTCATTGTTACAGAACATTTGTCTTCATCTTTATCATTAATACGTTGAAATGTGTAGATGCCTTTTCTAACTGCATTACTTATTTTTGCTCTTGCGGCCTCACCTTTATTAGAAATATTATTGTAAAAATTTTTTAATTCCATATGATGACCATTACACAATTCAACCTTCTTTGACAAAGAAGGGTTTGCTTTACTAATACTAGATAATTCTTTGATAAAATCTTTCAAAGTAAGGTTTTGAGAGCTCTTCATTAATGGTAATATGGATTGTTTGACTTGGATAAGAGATGAGACAGTATCTTCTTGTACAAGACTTCCATCTGAATGTTCTTCTACACCATTAATTAAATTCTTAATGTCATGTTCAGCAATTGACTGTAAGAATGAAACAAATTCTCTTGCCCGAGATAATTGTTCAATCAATTCCCAGTATTTATCATCCAGACCTAATAAATGTTTATTATTTATCTCATAAAACTCATTCAATTTTCCTAGCCATAAATAATCACCTTTAAGCAATAACAATATTTTGCTTAACCAATCTTGTTTGGTGTGAATGACTTTAAATATAATAGCTACATCAGATAACTGTTGTAATCTTCTAATTTGCTTTGGAACTCCAGATAAATATTTTAATGTGGTAACTAATAATTCTTTATGATTTACTTTTACGTACTCATCCATCAATTCCAACTCCATTTCAACATTTTCAACATTTTCCCAGAGTACAGATCCTTCTGAGCATTTCAATTTCTCCCAAACAGCATATTTTTTACATAGTTCATTATATTTATTAAAAGTTTGTGGAATTAAACTTTTGGCAACATGTTCAGTTGTTATATTTGCATTTGCTTTTTCATTCATGATTCTGTCAAAAACATTTCTAAAAGTTTGTGAATTTGCTAATTTATAACATTTTTTTGCAGAATTTAATGATTGATGATGAAGGTGCCAATATTTTGGCTTCAAAGCATCCTTTAATTTGACTTGATCCAAATTTCTAGCTTTTTCTTTTATGTCATTTAAAAATGATTGGACATTATTGACCTTTTCAATTGGACAAAACTTTGCATAAAATATGGCAAGTTGATTCAATGTCAATTCAAAATTATTACATTGGCTTTCTAATAGGTCAATCCCTTTGTTGTAAATTAGTTCATTAGCAAAATCATCATCCACATTTGAATCATCAGGAATCTTGCTTGTTGAAGTGATTTTAAAAAGATTTTTAACTAGATCCTTATCATATTTAAGAAGTTCTTGTAACTGTGCAATGCTAATATTCTTATTAGTAATTAATCCTATAAAGTGTTGAATATTTTTAAAAACTTTTTGAAGTAGATAATGGTTTAAAAACTTTTCTGTACAACCCTTAGCATTGAATACAGTAATCCAAAACTTTGCTGATTTCAATAATACTAATGGATCTGAGAATTTCACATGGTCACACAATTTAGTTAAGATATGACATAATATTTCTTCACACAAACTATGAAAAAATAAATGCAAGCAGATATATGAATTTCTTAAATAATAACAATAACAATAATAATAATAATAATAATAATAATAATAATAATAATAATAATAATAATAATAATAATAATTAATAATAATTAAAGTACCTATCAGGTATAAACAAATCATCTTTAGAACATCCACAAACATGAGACATTTTAGTAATAAGATGTACATCAGGGATTTTTATCATGTTATTTAGCATTTCTTTGATCATTATACCAAATCTATGTATAATTTTTGGATGTAATTCTTTGATATGTGAAGTAGTACTTAACACTCTAACTTCAGTAAAATTTTTAATTTTGTCCATGGTAAAGATGAATAATTTCTTGTAAATTTCATTTTGATTTTCAATTATTGGCAAAATGTAAGAAAAATCATATAATATTGAATGCACAATTTTCCATTCCTCATTAACATAAGCTTTAGAAGATTCGTTGACCTTACTCAATCTCATTTGATACCACCGACCACAAATAAAAGGGATATCTTCATCTTTCAGCTCTTTTTTTTCAAAAAGTTCATTTTTTTCATCTTCGTCTTCTTCATTACCATCCTCTTCAGCTATTTCATCTACATTATCTTTAAAATATTTAAGATAGTGATCCAATATTTTAGTAAAGAAAATTAATAATTTTGGATGATTTGATTTAGAAATACAATCTAGTGAATTGATAACATCTGCTTTCTTCCATTTTAGCAACTTGTTGAAAAATAACATTGAAATTGGTTTTATGTATACTTCAGTCCAATTGATTTGAGCATTCAATAAACTTAAAACTTTTTTACGGAATGGTTCTGCCAATATTTCTTTCAAATTATTGGGAACTTTTTCATAATCTTCCAATAAATCTACTGGACCGTCAGAAGCAATAGTTCTTTGAAATGAATTAGTGAAGGCATATACTATTAATTCCTCTTTTTCTCTTTTATGATCAATAAAGTCATTCCACATTGTAATTAATGTGTCCATTGTGTTGCATAATCCAATCAGCCACTTTATAAAAATGAAATATTTAATCAAACTTATTCAAGGATGAATAAAAAGGGATATATATATATCAAAAATAATAAAACTATTAGATTATTTACCTGAGCAACTTTAGAATAAATTAAATCATCTTCAATTCTATCAACATAAGTTAAAACTTGCTTAGGAAGATATTTAAATAATTTTTTCATTTGTTCATCATTTAAATCAATATCAACCAAAGCATCTAAGAAATTATAATTAGGGTCAACAATATCTGCTAAAGCAAAAATTTTAAGCCATGCAAAACTATTTATGCTGGCCAAGTGGCGACATATGGCAGATACTGCCAATGTAATTTCTTGTTCATGTCCAGGTGGTAAAGTGTCCGGCTGAATTTTTTCAATTGCTTCAAGTAATAAAATTGATCCAAAATTTGAAGGTAAAAATAGATTACCACTAAATAATTCAAACTGACGTTGGATAATATAATGACCTATTAATATAAGGCAAAAAATTCTTTTTTCCCTTAATTTATTATCTTTAATGACTTCATCTATGTATCTTATGGTTGTGAAATTTTTGGTTGTAAGTGGAAAATTTTTACTGATTAATTGATACTCTTCAAGTTTTTCCTTGAGATTATTGGAGTTCAATGATTCAACAATGATATACAAAAATTGAAAATCTTCGATCATAGTAGTGAAATAACAACGAGTTGGCAGATTAATTTTACCAACGATATCATACAAATTTCCACTTTTTGCTCTTAAAATCCTATATTCATCCAACTCTTCATTAAAAACTTTAGCATCATCTTTGTAACGAACACACAAACCATATCTATATATGATTTCTTTTTTTTCATTAAAAAGAGTAACTGGAATTGGAATTTCAATTGCCCAATAAGTTGTATGTGAATGTAAATGATTACGTTTATGTGGTTGTTTGAGTGGCATTATTATATTTTCATTTTGTCCTGGAAAGAAACATATAACTGGTTCACCTCTATTTTCAATGTTTGATGGAAAATGAACATGAAAATATACTTTAATACTTTCTTTATTCTTATCATCATCATCACGTGAGCTGAAAAGTTTAACAGATTTGTTGAGAAATCCTCTAACAGATGATGAAGAAGCTCCAGTTTGTTGTTGCTGGTTTTCATTAGAATTATCTTTAGTATTTATATTATCTGGACCAATTTCTGAAGGATTGCTAATATCATGATTTTCATCATCACCACCATCATCATTCTTATCACTTCCATTGCCATCATTTTGAAATGGACTGGAGGATTCTTGAACTAGACTGGGAGTTGTCGTCTCCGATGAGGACGAACTTTGATCATCGTTTCCATCATCACCCACATTGGTTTGTCCAGTAGAGCTCATGACTAGAACGATTTATTCTTGTAAAATAAATAAAAATTGTATATATATTTTTTAAATTTTAATATTTTAAATGGTTTTTATTTTCTCGAAATAAAAATAAAAATACACGAAGGAAAAGGAAAATCGATAGTATTAAATATTTATTTGTATAATTTTTCCACAAATGAATTCATTATTTATAGAAAATAAATTTTAAAAAGTGAGCGTGTTTTAACTCCGCTGTCCTCATGTGTTAATTTTTGTTTATTGTTAAACTACTAAAAGAGGAGAATGAATAATAACGCGTGTAACAAATATTATTATAAATTTATTAAATTTTTTCAGATTAGATCTGCAAAAAAAATTTTATCCGATAATGATGTCAAACATTGCAAGAAAAAGTTCAAGTAGTGCAGGTCAATTCGTTGCTGCAGGACAAGTCAAAATGTATATAATATATTATAAAATGGATGATTTTATGCGTTTGCTTCTTTATTAAATTGTCTGTTCTATTCTTTTTAAAAATATTTCTAGATATAAAATGGCATCGTCAAATGTCATTAGACATTCATCATCAAATTCTACCTCATCAGAATTGAATAAAATCAGCAAAAATATCACTCAACCAAAATCTCAAGGAGCATCTCAAGCAATGTGTAAAGTTGTTTCTTGTTCAATTGATCATTGATCATTGATTAAGTATCTCTAAATGATAATTTGTTTTCTATGACTAAATAGTATATGGGACTGGTTTGACAACTGAAGATATGGATAAAGCTCAAGTTGGTATTAGTAGTGTGTATGTAAGAAAATCTTTAAAATGAATAATACAAAAATATGAATGAGTAAACGTATAATTAATAATTGTAATAATATTTTTTGGGGAGGGAATAAAATAGATGGTATGAAGGCAACACATGTAATATGCATTTATTAGATCTGGCCAAGAAAGTTAAAGAAGGTGTCAAAAAGGCAGGAATGATTGGCTACAGATTTAATACTGTTGGTGTAAGCGATGGTATTAGCATGGGAACAAGAGGTATGAGCTATTCATTACCTAGTAGAGATTTGATTGCTGATTCAATTGAAACTGTAAGTAAACAAAATGATGATCATGATGATTACGATACAATATAATGGTATTTAAGCAACAATTTATGTAATAATCTAATAGAATATTTATTTATAAGGTAATGGGTGGTCAATGGTATGATGCCAATATATCATTGCCAGGATGTGACAAAAATATGCCAGGTTGTTTAATGGCAATGGGTAGGATTAATAGGCCTTCGTTAATGGTTTATGGTGGAACAATCAAACCAGGCCAAAGTACTTGTGGATTGGGTAAATTGGATATCGTATCAGCATTTCAAGCATATGGCAGTTATATTTCTGGCAAGATTACTGAAGAAGAAAGATTTGACATTATAAGAAATTCTTGTCCTGGTCCTGGTGCATGTGGTGGAATGTATACTGCAAATACAAGTATGCAAGCTATTGTTTTTTGATGTATGGGGCGCAGGAAGTAGTAATGTGATATTTTCTAAAAATAAGTGATTTTATCAAAATCCTGATTCTCAGAACCCTTGTAACTAATTGCATATAGGGTGTTACTGACTCAAGATCGGAATTAGATTTGTTTCTATTTTCCCACGCCCCATATATTTGGATATATATACACATATATAATATAAATATTTACGTGTTATTAATACATGTGATTAATAGTGGCATCAGCAATAGAAGCGATGGGAATGACTTTACCTTATTCATCATCGATACCTGCAGAATATCCTGAAAAAAAAGAAGAATGTTTGTCAGCAGGAGAAGCAATTCGTAACTTGTTGGAAAAAGATATAAAACCATCTGATATCATGACAAAAAAATCCTTTGAAAATGCTATTGTGCTAACGATGATACTTGGTGGCTCTACAAATGCTGTTCTACATTTGATTGCTATTGCTAGAACTGTTGGTGTTGAATTGACATTGGACGATTTTCAAAAAATTAGTGATGATACCCCCTTTTTGGCAAATCTAAAACCAAGGTATTTGTTGTACCCCTTCTCCACATATATATTTTTAAATTATTTATTTTATTAAAATATATTTATACATTAGTGGTGAATATGTTATGGAAGACTTGCATAAAATTGGTGGCATACCAGGTAAACTCTCTAGTTCATCATATGAGGATATGAGTAAAGCACAATTATAATTATAGTTATAATTTTGGTTTTGCTTTTTTAGCTGTTTTAAAATACCTTTTAGATAATAATAAAATTCACGGAGATGTGTTAACAGTGACTGGAAAAACTTTAGCAGAAAACTTATCATCAATTGCACCACTTTCATTTGACAATCAAAATATAATAAATCCATTGGATAAGCCAATCAAATCAACAGGTCATATACATATTCTTAAAGGTAATTTGGCACCTGAAGGTTCTGTGGCAAAGATTACCGGTAAAGAAGGTTTGATATTTAAAGGCAAAGCAAAAGTTTTTGATGGTGAAGAAGATATGTTAAAAGCATTGGAAAAAAATGAAATTAAGAAAGGTCATGTCATAATTATAAGGTATGAAGGTCCTAAAGGAGGTCCTGGAATGCCTGAAATGTGTAAGTGGAATCGAGTTATATAAAAGTTATATAAATTCACTTTTTATATATATGTATTAATTTTATTATTATTATTATTAAATTTGTTTTGTAGTGACTCCAACTAGTGCTATTATGGGTGCAGGACTTGGTAACGATGTTGCATTATTAACAGATGGAAGATTTTCAGGTGGCAGTCATGTAAGTACAATTAGGAAAAAATATTATATCTATTTATTTATCCATACTTAATATTTAAAATTTATGAATATAGGGATTTATAATAGGGCATATTACACCTGAAGCACAATTGGGTGGTCCAATAGCATTAGTGAAAGATGGTGATGAAATTGTTATAAATGCAGAGAATAAATCTATTGATGTTGATGTTAGTGATAATGAGCTTGAAGAGAGACGTAGAACATGGAAAACCCCTCCTTACAAATTTACTAAAGGAACTTTATACAAATACATCAAAAATGTTAAATCAGCTACTGAAGGCTGTGTTACTGATGAATAAAAAATTAATTTTACAATATTTATTTATTAACATTAATTCGCATATTTTTCATTATATTAATTTCTGCCAACTTTAGTTTTTGTTGTTTTTATTCAAAAAATAGTTTTAACAAAATCAATTTTCATCCCAACCCTTGTATTTGTGTTTTTTTCAGATGACTTCTGTGAAAGTTTATCAATTCTTTCCACAAATTGAAATAAATGACAACAAATGTAAGATCTACATGCAATATACCTGTTACCATAGTTATATAGCATCAATCCAATAATCATACTGTGTATAACATTGGCATATAACTAATACTAATGACAAATTGCGTAATCCTTACTGCTGTGAGTAACGTATCTGAGCACATAATGCTAATCTAATACTGCTTCCACTGCCATTTGTGTGATTGCTGATTATTATAATAATGACAATGACTATTTCCTTTTGATGATTCATAACCTCTATTCCATGTATGTTATTGTTCTTAATTTTTTTGCGGCTATTAATTAAAAGTGAATAATGACAACTTTATTTATTATTGATGCATAAAAAATATAAAAATTTAGTAAAGCCTTTTGTTCTTTAAATTTTCACTGTTGCGGACATTGTGCTAAATTTGGTCTTCTTTATTGAGTAATTTTTTTTTTAAAAAGCTTCAAGTTTTAAATTGCCATCATCATGGATGATCCATTCTTGTGGTTAATGCTATAATATTAACATCATTCAATTTAATAAACTTATATACTTATTGTAAATTACTTGATGCATTAATCTAGATTTATTAAAGAAGCAACCTCGTGTTATCTATATATTGTCTATAAAAAACCTAACTATTTATTTCACGAGTAAAAATATATGGCCAAGTAAATATGTTATTTGCGCAGCTTTGCAAGAGTTATCAATATTCGGAAAACAAACGATTTTCAATAACGAATATTATAAATTTGAACGCATCTATCTCTATACAAAGCAAATAAAATTTATAATCACGTATAGTTAGCATTTTTTTGACTATCTTATATTCCATGAGCATTTACTTGTTGACAGTGGTTTTGAAGTCTTATTAAAAAGATTCCTCGTGACTCAAAGTTCGTGTAACAAAATTTTTTAGATCAAAAGTAAACGTGCGAATTTTGATTTCATATTAATAAATGGATCTTCTCTATAATAATAAATAATAAGTCTTAATCGCAATTTTTTATGCATATAATCATTATGCATAATTAACGTAATACTACCCCAAGAGTAGTTCACGAATAATATAAAATGCTGAAGCAAATGCTCAATGTGAGTCATAGGCAATTCGGTGAAACATTGCATCGATATTTATATATTTATTATTTAGAGTTTTTTTTTTTGGTTCATGTACACTATTTATTATGGTATTCATGTTATTATTATTATTAGGTATTTACGGTATTACGTATTACGGTATTGGTATTACGGTGACGACTTTTACAACTTTAGTGTCATGCAAAAATTTATTTACTGCTTATACGTAATAGTAATGCCGAATTTACCGTAATTGCCGTTATTCAGACAAGTATAGTTCAGGACATTGTGTGGCTTTTTTAAATTTAGTTCCTCGAATTTTCATTTCTGCTTCACACGCAGACCAAATAGATTTGCTAATATACGTTAGCAATAATAATAATAGGTAATAGCAATAATAGTGGATTTAATAATTTTTTATTGCTCAAATTAATTTGTTTGTTTATATATAAATAGGTGGAGATGGAGCAATTGATACGGTGTTCATATAGCTTATGACAAAAAAACCTTTATAAAACAAATTGTAGAAGATCATGTGAGCTTGATGATGACTTTAGATTTAATCAAAAAATGATTCAGATAATGATGTAAACTATGACGATTAAAAATATTATGTATGTGGAATATATAGATTACTAGATGGCAGGTATCAGAGATTGATTGATCATTCAGAGGAATATTCCTCGTTCCAATTAGAGTTGGTGTCTCTTGCTGCTATTAATAATTATTAATATATATATGTATACATAGGCGATTACAAATTGGATGGTTTTCCTGCTCTTCCTGTTATTAGTGGAAAGTATTATCAGAATCAATTCCATGTACACTTGAATATCGTGATCCATCAGCTGTTGGAGCTCAATGACGCGCATTTATTAAAGTGATTGTAGAGCGGATTCATTAAATAAAATTACAAGTATAAATGGTGTTGTTTTTTTTGATATTGATGATAATGTAATATATATATATATTGATATTATAAAGAGGAAGCTTTTTATTAAAGGTAATTGTTTATTTACGGTGGAAGTTCTTCATTATCCCTAAATTATCAATATAATATTTACATAAATAATAATATACATTCATAATATAATATAATATAATATATAAATTATTAACCATTTAATAGGCATTCTTGTAACTCTTGGCTTATCTGCTAAAATGTTGCGATAAAGTTTATCCAATGCCACATCTTCTGGTGGTTCTTCTCTCAATGCCTCCTCAACATATTCATTATTAACATAATATCCTACACGAACAAATTCTTGATTTTTATATGAACAAGTAATGAGAATCACCGTCACATCTAAAATGTCTTTTGACGGTATTTGATCTACGTTCGGTGCTGGTGCCTAACCGATTAATTATAATATAGACGAGGATAGAGAAAAAAAAAGAAAGTAGAAGTGAAGAAAGGAGAGATGTAAATTATCTGTTGTTTACTTGATCATTTATTATACCACACGCAACAAATCTCTCGTACGCAAAATTCCTTACCTCAAATATAAATTGATTAATGCCGGGGGGGACAGGCCCAACCATAATACTTTCAAGAACTTGATCATATTGTTCACTTTCTGAAGAACCAACATAAATGATCTTCCATTCTAAATCTGTAAATAAAAAGAAATATAAATTTATTAGTTATGACTTTATTTGTGATATAAAATAACAGAAATTCTGAATTTTCCAATAATAACACGTAAAATATATTAATAAAAAAGATTTGTTTCTCAAAATAATTTAATACGCGTATATTTCTTTATTTATCTTATCCATAAATATTTTTTATTTTAAAATATTTATTTCTACAAACAACAATAGATCATAAACAAAAGATATATATATAATATAAATAAATAGATAGATGGATGGATGGACATATTATTTCTCTAACCTTCTGCAAGTGGTGCTATACATTCAAAAGTAATCTCAAACTGATATGTTTCTGTGAATAGAGCTGGATTATTTAAAACTTTTATGTTTGTAATGTTGACAATACTCATTTTTAAATTTTAATTATTAAAGAATGAGATCAAGAAGAGTTAAGCGCGTAGTAAAATTTTTTATAATTATATTTAGAAATTTATTTAATGATTTTTTTTTACAAACATTTTTTAAAAAGTCTAAAGTATAATTAAAAAATATACCTCATGAGCGATCATTTACTATTATATTTTTTGTCGCACGAAAATATATGCGCGCCCAATCAAACCTTTTACCATTGGATTTTGACGAAGATGACAAAAAATAGACAAACAAGATGGATTGTATAACTTTCATCCTTGACATAAATAAATAAACTTTCACATGTACTTTCATATGTGTCATCCACTCCGATCATATCCACAAACAATTTGTTCGATATTTTGTATTTGAAAACCACAAGAGTTTTTTGCATTTTTGATGAAATGCAGCTACATTTAAATATAAAATTTTCAATTTATATTTAACTTAACTTTTCCGAATGAATTATATGATGGATTTATTCTGTCAATCCAACTTGCAAAAAAAAGCAAAATAACCCTTTGGTTAATTATTGTCTTGGATAATATTAATTGAAAATCTAATAATGAAGAACTCCTTCCCGGAAAAAGGGTGACTGGTTTGAAATACCTTTGAATCTATCTAATTAAAGGAATAAAGTTTCTTATTTTGTAAAGACCAGAGTTTTTAACATTCTTCTGGATGTTTTGATAAACATCATTTAAGAAAGATTCTTTTCCCAAACATCAATTTCACTATTTTCTTTATACGGATATTCTTCAATTGGTTGAATTGTCATTGGTGTTATCATTATATAGTCAATATGAATCTCCACAAAATAGTTCATTGTATAATTATAGAGCAACTCAATGCCAAGCTCATCCGTTTTAATTAATATTGTATTTTACAAATATAAATAAACAAGGATACTGCTGCAATTAGGTTGCAACCCATTTTTACATGACGCAACTATGGTTATCATCAAAAGTTGCTCCCAGTATTCTTATTCATGATTATTATTTTAACTAAAGAAAAAAATTTCAATAATTCTTTAGAAACTAATTCATAGATACTTCCTCCTTAGAATATAATCTCCATTTTCTTTTCTGCATTCTTAAATACAAACAATGAGTGTTTAGAATTAATGAGTGTGCATATATTTCTTTAACATTTGGTTCTTTAACCTTTCTGATTCCAATAATTTTTTAAAGTTATCATGGTAAGGTTGGTGCTGCATTATTAGTGTCAATTGTATTTAATGAGTTATAAGGGGAGAGATTGGAATTGGTTAAAAAATCCCTTAGTTGAGTTTTTTTATTTTAGTTGGTTATTAGTATAGAAATTATCACATAAAAGAATCAATAATTTTTATTGAGTCATAAATTTACCCAAGGGGAGTTGCAATAGGACTCTGAAAACTTTAGAATGTCTATCTCATCTCCGATATCAAATAATAATTCCCAAACTATACTTTTGTTTATTTGATGTGATAGAGAAGGCATAATTTATAAGAACGTTAATTTGACAGAATTATCTAAAACAAATGAAGGAAAAGTAGATTTTTCTTAAATCACACGCAATCAAACAATATGGTCATAAACATATCTGAGGGACAATATATAGCAAAGAAATTGGGTTGCAAGAAAGACAAATATGGATTATTTAAAAAAAAATCACAAAAAATAAAATTATTTGGTTTAGTTGATAATAAAAAAAGAATACAATTATTTTAAATCAATTTCTATTGACAACCGGAATATCAAGAAAAAAGTCATCTATTCAATTAATGATTTAAAGCTTATGAGGGGAATTAAATAAATATAGTATTGACCAGATCAAGATGTAAGATTGAAATCAATAGTGGTAAAATCACTTTAAAGAAAAATAAAAAAGTTATTATTATTGAAAATGATTAATAATCCTGAAAAAAAATAACAAAATATTTAATGAAACAAATAAATAAATAATAAAAAATAATAATAATAATTTTCCCTAATTCCAATAAAAACAAAATTTGTGTTTTTGATCATTTTAATTTTTATCAATTTATTTGAAAAACTTCTAATTCATCAAATATGCTACCATCTACTAGATTGATGTTACTATAAGTACTATTATTATTTTGTGCACTGTAAATAACCTTATTTGAATTAAAATACAAATCATCACCACCACCAAATCTAGGAATGCAAACTGGGCCACAATATATTGCATTTTGTTGATTCTTAATAGGATAACTAAACTGTGCAGTACTGATATCATTTCTATTACTTATATTAAATATAAAACTATCATTTGTATTTTTATATTGATTTCCATTCCAATTAAATGGATTATATCCACCAACAATTTGCTCAGTGTTTTGTATTTTGCCAATCACAAGGGTTTTGTTAATATCATCACATTTTTGATGAAAAGTAATTGGATTTAAACCATCTCTACTACTACGATATAAAAGTTTAAATTCACATTTAACTTGTTTGAATGAATTATATACTGGATCCTTCCTGTTAATCCAACTTGCAAAAAGTAAAATGACCTTTTTTTCTTTAATTATTGTTGAGTCAATTTTTGAGGGGATTCTTGGTGGTAATAAATTTGAAATTTGCTGACTATCAGGAACTAAATAATATTGCATAAGATTTTTCCATAAAGCTTTTGGAAAAAGCATCTGATATGACATGATTTTGTCATTAAAATCTTTGCTAGAGATATCCTGAAATCGAATCAAAGGAATAAATTCTTGTCTTTTCAAAATCTGCAAAGTTTTGCAATGACCAATCCATCAACATTAATATTATTGATTACTGAATGCCTTGCCAATCCCCATTTAATAACATTTTCCCAAATAACTATCTCATCAACAACAAAATCTTCTCTTTTGAGAACCTCCAATAGAACTGGTTTTTCCAATGATTCAAATTCACTTGACTGAAACAATTTTTCACTATAATCACAAAATGTTTCTAAATAAATATTTTTCAATTCCTTAAATCCTTCATTAGAATAGATTGACTTGAGAATTTTAATTGGATTTTCTTTTATATAATCCTCATGTTTCTCAATAAAATATTTCATTGTATATTCATAGAGTGATTCAAGACCAAGTTCATCAGCTGCAATTAATATTTCCAAAATGTCAACTCCAGTAAAATTGTCTAATTCAATTCTACAAGTATATAAAAACCTTTTAAAATGAGATAAAATAAATATTATTGTTATATATGTGTGTGTATTCAATTAAAAAATAAATGTAATATAATTTAGTAAACTTACTTTAGAATAGGTCTAAAAATTAATTCGCTAATATTTGGTTTTTCAATAATATAATAACCATTTGTTTTTGTTGCATTGGTTAAAGCATTTCTAAAAAATGGACAGTGAACTTGTAGAATGAATGAATGTGCATGAATTTCTTTAACATCTGGTTTTACACCAATATTAATTTTTACATCACTATTCTCTTCTGTATTTAAAAATCTTTCATTTTCATTAAAATATTTTTCTAATATTGTTAAATCCATTTTTATTACTATTAAAAATTAAATAAATTCTTGTAAGAAAATATTTAAACTGGGTAATTTACCCGGATCATGTGTTTGTGCAACTTAACATAATAAATAAACTTTTTTTCATAATTTATACATGACATAAAACTTTATTCCACCTTCAACAACAAAAATGTCACAAAATTTACACTCATTTGATTTTACTGATAAGCTGAATCTGGAAGAAGGACTTACTTTTGTTTCGTGGAAACAGGCAAAATTATTTTTTGATAATTTTGCATTACAAAAGGGTTTTAGTTACGAAGCAAATCTGAAGATGGTATTGTAACAAGGTTAACATATGAATGTACAAAATCAGGCAAGCACAATCCATGGATTACAACAGATCCTACAAAACATCGTAATGTCCATTCTCAAAAAACAGAATGTCCATGGCATATTAATCTTTCTTTTCCAAAGTCAAGTAATGTAATAAAAATTAATTCCTTTGTAAATGCACACAATCATTCTTTGAACACAATGATAGGTGAAATAGTACCTCAATTTCGGAAACTTACTTCTTCCATGTTAAAAGATATCAAAAATATGTAGTTGAAGGATGGATTCAGCTTCAATATATACATTGCTAATTAACGATTATCCACAAAACACCATTAATAAACGCGACCTTTACAATGCTATTTATAATATTCATCAACAAAAATAACCCTGGTGATTTTGATGCATCGCAAATGATTAAAAATTTGTTTGAAAAATATGCAAAGGTAAAAGGTCATAAATGTGGAAAATGTAGACAATTTAGTCACTATGCAAGCACATGTATAGATTGAATAACTTTTATTTATTAATGTAATACTTTCAACTGTAATTTGTAGACATGCTATGAATTTAATATTAGGCTCATCTAAATTATTGTTTATAAACACTTGGGTGTCTTAATATGTCGCATTTACTAGTTTAAATGGTTGGGTATGGGTAAAGAATCATAGATATTTGCAATTTGAATCGTTATTAAGTATGTAAGATTGTATTATTTTTATAAATAGATTCTATATGTTATGTATGCTTCTTTGTAATTATAATAAATGAACGCAAAAATTTTTATGCCGATCTTTATTATTTTATATAGTAATGGTACCACCTGAGTATTATACCGGGTATGAATAGTATTTGAATATATTAATATATAATTATTTCGTAATTATTTTATGGATACTTGTAATTATTTAGATATGTTGTATGTGAAATTGAAATATTATGGAGTGGGGTGAAATTCTGATTGGCTAATTTGAATTTCACACATGTAAATTTGAATTTCACATATGTGAATTACGAATTCACATAATTTTATTTTCACGTACAACATATATTTAGACATTAAAATAATTTGTTTTAATCGATCAAGTTTTACAAATCACTTTTTACATGATAACCATAACCATAACCATAATAATAACACTATATTGTTTGACAAGCCAAACCTTATCCGCCATCTAAGCTTAATCTGCGCA